CTCTCTCTCTCTCTCTCTCTCTCTCTCTCTCTCTCTCTCTCTCTCTCTCTCTTGTTTTGTTTAAAAGTGTCTGATCGCGTGTTTGATTTGGTTGAAGCCGGTACTTTCCAACTGAAGAGCTGTGATTCACGAAGAATATCGACAGGTGGTGGCTTATTGCGAGATGGTGAGCAGCGGCGGTAGGGGGCCAGTTTTGTCTGAGGTTCATGCATCAGCTTGCAGAATGCGTGTTGTCCTGACTTTTTCACGTCTGTCTTCTTCCCTCGAGGGATCGAATATTGTAGTCGTGAACTACCACATTTTGTGGATTGATAACTTAATTAGAATTTGTAGAACGCTAAGAGGGGTCGGTTCAAATGAATGCTGGATTGATTGATCGGCCGACAGATAGGATTCTAAATATCAAATTCTTAGGAATTGCCTGTTCTAGGCGGCGGGGGGTGTATGTATTGCTGAATTGGCGAATGGAAGGTCAGGATCAGTTAAGGGTCTAGTTGTTAAGTGCTATCTCTGGACACAAAATCGAAGGAGCGGCACTTTGGAGGAGAATGCAACGCACGGCATACCAAGGATCAGATATCCTGTACACGCATGTTTCAGTTGGTCGCCGCACGCACGACGCACAAGTGGGTGACATAAGGCGCCCTTCAGCTCGGCGATGCTGAGCTGATATGTGGAACATGCATGCTAATTGCGGAGGCGAAAGCCAAGAAAGTGCCGGTTGCAGCGGCTCCCTATATGTATGTTGGATCGGTTGCATGGCCAACTCACAAGTCGTGACGAAAGCCAAGAGGTGGCGGTATCCTGTACGTGTGTTTCAGTTGGTCGCTGCATGCACGACTCTCAAATGGTGACGGAAGGCGCCGTTCAGCTTGTCGATGCTGAGCTGATATGTGGAATATGCATGTTGTGTGCATGGATGCTAATTGCCGAGACGAAAGCCAAGAAAGTGCCCGTTGCAGCGACTCCCTATATGTATGTTGAATCGGTCGCACGGACAAGTCACAAGTCGCGACGAAAGGCGCTATTCAGTTTGTCAGACTTTGTCTATGATGCGACAAGTTTTTCCAAGTCGCGACGAAAGGCGCTATTTAGTTTATCAGACTTTGTCTATGATTGTCTGATCCATGCCACATACGTGCATGTAGGCAGGCAGGCAGCCAGCCAGCCAGGAAGGAAGGAAGGAAGGAAGGAAGGAAGGAAGGAAGGAAGGAAGGCAGGAAGGAAGAGGAAGGAAGAGGAAGGAAGAGGAAGGAAGGACAGGAGGAAGGAAGGAAGGAAGAGGAAGGAAGAGGAAGGGGAAGAGGAAGGAAGAGGAAGGAAGAGGAAGGAAGGAAAGGAAGGAAAGGAAGGAAGGGAGGGAGGAATGAAGGCAGGAAGGAAGGCAGGAAGGAAGGAAGGAAAGAAGGAAAGAAGGAAGGAAGGAAGGAAGGAAGGAAGGAAGGAAGGGGTGCAATAAGCACAGGGAATCATGAGTGTGTGTTCCGCTAACCACACGGAAAGACGTTGTGGATGATGTTGAGTGCGATTGAGTACCTGGAATGCTGTTGGTGGCACGACTCACAAATTCTGATGGAAGGCGCTGTTCTGCTTGTCGATGACGTGCAGGTGACTCACAAGTCGTGATGAAAGGCGCTTTTTAAACCTTTTTTAGTTTATCACTGATCTTCTGAACGATCCCACATGCATGCACGCATGTAGGTCGGCAGGCAGGCAGGCAGGCAGGCAGGCAGGCAGGCAGGCAGGCGGCATGGGGTGCAATTAGCACCAGGAATCATGCGTGTGCGTTCGATCGACCATGCAGACAACGCACTACCGTCTTCCCCCGAACACAAGAAATATAGTCTTGTGACTCTTGTATACATTCATTATCAGGGTGCGTTATATTCGGGGGACGACGGTAGTCGTGGCGAGTGGCGTTGTTCAGGTTGTCGTTGTGATGTCTAGTGGGATGATTACGCGGAACGCTGTTAGTGGTGTGGCGCACAAGTTGTGATGGAAGACGGCGTTCTGCTTGTCAATGACGTCCGGATGCATTGCACCTACCCTTTGTCTGTTTGCGGCACGATACACATGATGATGGACAGGCCTGGCATCTGATGATGCGGAACATCACCATGGTGCACAATGCCCTAAGGGTTATCAGGCATTGGAGCAAGCCACGTAGCTGCGAAAATAAGGGTCACTCTCTCTCTCTCTCTCTCTCTCTCTCTCTCTCTCTCTCTCTCTCTCTCTCTCTCTCTCTCTCTCTCTCTCTCTCTCTCTCTCTCTCGTCTTTTCCTTCTTTGCACTTGTGATGCTTGGCTGGGAGCAATACATGCTGCAGTAGAAGAATGGCGTAGTGCAAGCCAACCCTTAGCCATATCCTTATCTTTATAATGCTTATCCATATCTGTACCTGGCTCCGGATATGGGTAAGGTTCATCCATTACAAGTTGACCCTTAGCGGTATCCTTATCCGTATGATGCTTATTTGTATCTGTACCTGGCTCCGGATATGGGTAAGGTTCATCCATTACAAGGTGCGTGATGTGTGCAGAGGCTCTCTTAATTAATGTGTGTCGAAAGTTATGGAGTGCCTGCAGTTGATGTAAAATTCAGGACGTCAACAAATATTCATGTCCATCTGCAACGTTTGGCACTTTTTTTTTTTTCCCTTCAAAATTCACGTTTGGCGGCACTTTTGTGAAGCTAGGGTCCCAATTTCCTTTTTTTCTTTCTTTCTTTCTTTCTTTTTTTCTTTTTGGTTATACAACTTATACTGGTTTTCGTTCGTGTAGGTATTTCACGAGCTCATGGGTGGGGCGACTGAGATAGGTCTGTTGGTGTTTGGCCACTTCCACTTCATCACAATCTGTATTTTGGAAATTTATTTTCATCATCTTACTCGTACCATGCCGTCATCTTCTGCATTCATGTCTCCGACTGCCAGACCGATATTGTCTCAGCCCACTTGAACAGGTTTTTTATTTAATTTATTTTTTTTTTAGTTCTTTTTCTTACTTTTCTTTTGGGCAAGTTCATCTGTGGGGGTGTGGTGGGAAAAAGGAGGGGGTGGGACTGGTGTGTGTGACCACACAATGTGAAGGAAAAGGTGC